CTAATTTAAGGAAATAAATAAATGTTTTACAATTGAATATTAAATAAAATTAAAATTAATCTTACATGTTCTGGTGACCCAATTATACAACAATTCGGAGCTGAATCACCGCTGATAATATATTTTTCGCTTTCAACAACTAAAATATTTTCACCTCCAATTTGTAATTTTTTAGAAAATTCAATGCATTTTTTTTCATCTAAATTATTATTATCTGATTCATCTTTCTCAATATTTTTCATTGTCTCGGTAATTGTTCCATCATTTTCTGTTAAATTAGTATTAGTTTTAATGGCTGTTTCAGTTGTTTCCGTTATTTCTTTAATATCATCATTATTATCAAGTTTCTCAGGTTCCGTCATAATAATAAAATAATAAATTAAAAAAAAATTATTTTTTAAAACAAAAGAGAAAAACTCCCTTTTTTTTATATTAAAGTTTTTCGTACCAACATCCTTTTTTAGAATACAAATATTTGTATTGATTGTACAGATTTGTTTATTTTAACACATTTCTCATTACTGCTATAAAATGCGTGTCGTACTCGTCGTACTATAGAATACTAGAAAGAATTAAGATCCTGTACGATGACGTGATTGAATGTACCTATTTAGATTTTCACAATTTTCACACAAGTAACGATTGTACAGATACTCGAAGTCATAACAAAAAACTAATTTTCGAGATGTGTATAAGAGACCTAACTAAGACTATATAAATTTTTATTTTACTTTATATTTTATTAAAATATACTTACTTTTTAATAATATATGTTAAAAATTCCATATATATGAGAAATGGGTTTTTTATTAGTGAAATAGGTTTTTTTACAGTTCTTTTACATTTAATAATTTAAGTTTCGCAAATGTAAATTTTTGTTCAACTTATTATTTAATTAAGTGATTATCAATCAGATGATTTTTTGGTATTACAAAACAATTTTAAGTAACAAAAATTGTGAAAATCAATCAATAACTCTTTTTAATGCAGAATAAACAAATCAGCCCATATGAGTTTTGTACTTACTTACAAATCTTTGGTTTTTTCCATTCTTTGAAAGACACCTGCGACACTCAAGACCTAAAAAGAAAAGAAAAGAACGGTTATTAGTAACCATTCATAATAATATTTAGAAAAAAAATTGAAAAAAAATAAACCAAGATTTGTACTTACGAATCTTGGTTTCTCTTTTCCTAAAGGTCAGAAGCCCACCCGATCCTAAAAAAAAGAAAGAACGGTTATTAGTAACCGTTCATAATATTAAAAAAAAAAAATAAAAAAAATAAGATTTGTACGTAAATCTTTGAATTTTTCCGTTCTTCAAAAGCCTACCCGAACCTATAAAAAAAAAAGAAAAAATGGTTAGTAAACTATTCGTAATAATAAAAAATAAAAAAATTAAAGATTCGTACTTACGAATCTTTGGATTTTTATTCTTCAGAAACCCACCTGAACTAGCTATAAAAAAAAGAAAGAATGGTTAATAAACTATTCGTAATAATAAAAAATAAAAAAAAATTAAAGATTTGTACTTACGAATCTTTGGATTTTTGTTCTTCAAAAGCCCACCTGAACCTATAAAAAAGAAAGAATGGTTAGTAAACCATTCGTAATAATAAAAAATAAAAAAATTAAAGATTCGTACTTACGAATCTTTGGATTTTTGTTTTTTGGAAGCCACCCGAACTAGCTATAAAAAAAAAGAATGGTTAATAAACCATTCGTAATAATAAAAAATAAAAAAAATCAAAGATTCATACTTAGTACGAATCTTTAGGTTTTTATTCTTCAGAAGCCCACCCAAACTAACTATAAAAAAAAGAAAAGAACAGTTAGTAAACTGTTCATATATTAAAAAAAAAATAAAAAAAAGAACCAAGATTTATACTTACGAATTTTAGTTTCTTAGTTTTCCTTCTTCAGAAATCCACCCAAAACCTAAAAATAGAAAAGAACGGTTATTAGTAACCGTTCGTAATATTTTTTTAAAAAAAAGAAAAAAAAATTAAACCAAGATTCGTATTTACTTACAAATCTTGGTTCTACTTTTTCTGAAGATCAGAAGCCCACCCAAAACCTAAAAAATAAAAAAGAACGGTTATTAATAAGTGAAGTTATACATATCACGTAATATTCAGTTTAATATAAACTTACTTCCTATTTCTCCTTGTCAGATTTAATAACCAATTAAATTATAATATTTATAAATATATAATTTTATTAAGTGTAATGTAAGATTTTAATTACCTCCCTCCTCCACTTTGATAATTACGTAATATGTGTAAGCTCCCTAACCATTCGTAATATTTTTTTTAAAAAAAATAAAAAGATAAACCAAGATTTGTATTTACTTACGAATCTTAGTTTTCCATTTATCAAAAATCCACCCGAACCTATAAAAAAAGAAAGGAATAGTTAGTAAACTGTTCCATAATAATAAAAAAGAAAAAAAAATTTAAGATTCATAATATAATACTTACGAATCTTAAAAAAGTACTTTTTTTTCCATTTCCATTCACTTTCATTTTCCCCTTTTGTTTTACCTTTCCTTTCATTTTCTTTTTCCCTTTAATTTTCCTCTTCGTCTTACCCTTTTCCCTTCATTTTACTCTTTCCCTTCATTTTACTTTTTCCCTTCATTTTACCCTTTTCCCTTCGTTTTACCCTTTCCTTTCGTTTTACCCTTTCCCTTCATTTTACCCTTTCCCTTCATTTTACTCTTTTCCCTTCGTCTTATCCTTTTCCCTTCATTTTACCCTTTCTCTTCATTTTCCCAAAACCTATAAAAAAAATAAAAATGGTTAGTAAAGGCAGTGACATATATTTAGAGTTCTGCACAGATCAGATCAGATCGGATTTAAATAAGATTTGATCCAATCTGATTTATTTTAAAAAAATTGGATTTGATCCAAGAGGACCCCGCTTACTTCTAATAGAGGTCTCCGAAAATATAAGGTAAAATTTATATTAAAAAAAAATTTTAGGTCTCTTAATAGATAAAGGTAAAATTATATATATGACAAATAAAGGTCTCCGGATATGTAAGGTAAAGTTAAAATAGGTTTCCGGTTTTATAAGGTAAAATCAAATATAAGTTTACAAATGTTTCGGTAAATAATAAGGTAAAATTGTATATAAAATTTAATATTTACCTTATATATA